CACCCCCACTTGCCTCTGCACTGCACCCAGTCTGGCTGACGGCCGCCCAGCTCCCAGCGCTGCGGGAAACAGCCTTTTGGACCTTCTGTGCCTGTCCCTCCCCAGGGACACTGCAGGCTGTGCCTGCCACCGGATCCCAGCATCTGGAACAGTGCCTGGCTCAGAGTAGGCGCTCTATAAATATTTGTGGGATAAATGGGAAGAGCAGGAACGCAGAGGAAGGGCAGAGGGCAGAGGGCTCTGTTCCGGCATCCTCGGACCCTGGGAGCTGAATGACTCCTCCTTCCCGCCATTGCCACAGCGGAGTCTGAGACATGCCTGCCACCCCCCACTGCAGCACAGGCCTGACTGCAGACACATCCCTGTCCCTTCCATACCTTCACTCAAGCTACCCTTCAGCACAGAGGACAAACTCCTCCTCCCTGCAAAAGCTACCAGATCTGGTACTTTCTGTCCCCTCATCCCCAGCAGGCTCTTCCCATCCCCAGGGCTCCAGGGTTTCTCTTGTCTCTGCACTTTTTGCTATGTTACCAGGTTCCAGCAAGTCTCAGGCAAACTGCTGGGAGCAGGGCCCAGGGGGTAGAGGAGGTCCTGAGCCCCAGGCTGGAACCCTCAGCCACCTGCTGGCTGTGAGACTCATGGGACTTACCTGAGTCTCAGGGTAGGAGTGAGAAGGTTCATGGGACAAGGTGAGGGCCAAAGAGAGGGCAGAAGTTGACTGGATGCTCAAACTTAGCCCCCTGGTGGACATGGGAGGGGCCTGGGGGCCACACTGACTGCTCTTACTTCCCACCCCTGCTGGCTTGGGACCCAGGCGTCATCTGATTACTTGGGTTCCTGTACTGAGGTCAAGTTAGCACAAAGTAGGCACTCTGCAGAGAAAATTCCACGCCCCCAGTGAGCACCAACCACCCACACAGACCACAGCAAACCTCCAACAGTCATCCCGCCTGTGGCTGTAGCCTCACTCAAAACTGCCCTGTCCCTTCTGCCCAAACAGAGGGCTGCTGCCAGGAACAGCCTTAACACAGTAAGCTTGGCCTGGGGACATTCAAATGCCCCCTGATTAGTTCAATTATTAGAATGTCCCTACAAACCACGTGGCCTGTATTCCTACTTCTCAGCCAAGAGAACAGCCCAGCCAGGATAAGAACTTGTTGGCAGACAGCTCTGCAGCGAAGACAGAGGCAGGCCGGGACCAGGCCTGCCCTGCCCCAGAGCCAAGCTCTTCTTGCACTTCAGGCCTTGTGGAGCTGTGCCTTCCAAGTCCCAGCAACAGCCTCAGCATCAGCTGTCACACACCTGTGGCTAATGAAACGCTTGGTGGCCTATGCCAGAAGCAGGTGATTCCCTTTGCCATCAAAACCTTAAAGGCAACCCAAGACCAAGACCAACTCTGGTAAGGAAAGATGAGAGCAGTGCGTGCTGAGGCAGGGGGGTGTGAGCCTGGGAAAGGGACTCCTAGGGCAACCTCCATGTGCCCAGGTCTCTGTCTCTCTCTCTCTCTCTCTCTCACGCACACGCACAATCGCAGGAACCAGACACTTTACACACAGCCTTTCCCGAGCTGGATCCACCTACCCACCCTTGTGTGTCTCTGCAGGTCCCTGGCCAGTCACTGCCACACAGGCCTCTCTCTCTGCCCAGGACAGGACAGTCTGTTTGGTAGGAATTAGGATCCCAGCCCAAGGGCAGGACAGTGAATGCTGTTCACAGATGCCTGCCTGCCTGCCTGTAGCCCCTTCCCCAGGGCCACCTGGCCAGCTCTTTGCGAGGGTTCTTACAAAGCTAGGTTCCAATGTCCTAGTGCCCTGACTGTCTCCTACCAGGCAGACAGCTGCATCCTGAGAACAGGCCCCAGGCCTCGGCTCAGCTCCATGCAGCTGACTCCCAAAGAAGAGACTAACCACTGCAAAGGTTGTCCAAGCCACCATCCTGGGTCCCATGAGCCTGTGTCCCACGCCTACACGTCTGGAATCTGTTGCCATCTGCTTCGTAAAGCCACCAGGAAGACTCAAAAGAAATGCACTTGGGTGGGAATCTTGGGAAGAGCAAGTCAGCCAGGAGCTAGTGAGAGGAACTTGCCACCAGGACCTCCGGGTGACCTGCGTGGCTACACTAATTACCAATGTTATCGGGCGGACAACAGCCGTGCCCTGAACTTCCTGTTTGACAGATTCGCGGCAAGCACGCCCAGCTTCAGCCCCGTGCCTGCTGATTCCAACAGCAGCTATTCTTCCAACCCTGCCCCCAGACCCTCTAACCTCCTGCCCCAGGCCTCCAAGGTCAGCCAAGCTAGCAAGGCAAAGAGAACGCCCCCTGCTGGGATGCACCACACAGAACCGATGATACCGCCAAGGAACAGAAACCGGCTCTCCTTTTGATGACACAGATGCTCTGAGACGAAAGCTACTGCTTACCTTTGTTGTCCCTGCTGCAGGGGAGCTCCAGCCCACGGGTCCCTGGCTGACGAGCCCTTGACCTGCACAAACCAGGGTCCCACATTCCACGCAGGCACCAATGATCAGCTGCCGGCCATCATCCACCAACAGGCTGTGGCTGGCTCTCAGGGTATACAGGAACAAGGGCAGCCTGGCTACCCTCACCGACTTCAGCCCCAGACACCGTTTCTTCTCTTGCTGACAGAAGAAGCACACGAATGTGTCCACTTGGTACTGCCTAGACCAGGCACTGACAGCCTGGTGAGCGGCTCTGGCTTCGTGCTGCAGCCACTGACCCAGCAAGTCATGATAGCAGAGCACACAGGTGGCCACCAGGCCGGTGGAGTCTGCAGGCCTGGCCCTTGGGGCGGGCGGATAGACGGTGAGGAAAGGAAAGAAGGGCTCCTTCTCGCCCAGGTGACTGCTGGGGTTCATGCTGAGCTGGAACTCCCTGCCCGGCCCCAGCTCAGCCCCACAGATGTAACAGACGGCAGGCGGGCCTCCCTGCGCAGAAGCGGGCAGATCGCTCAGAGTAGGGTCCGAGGCGGAGAAGGCTTGGTGGTACCTGCCCAGGAAGCCTTGCACGGAGCTGATGAGCTCACGGTTGTGTGATGCCCGGTACAGGGCCCAGACGTCCTCCAGGACGCTGAAGCACTTGGGGCAGCTGCGAACCTCGCAGCGGTTGTTGGGGGGCCGAGCATTGGGTGGACAAGGCAGAAGGCTGAGGAAAGGGAAGTGCATGGAGCCACTCGAGTTGCCATTGACGATGCGGGAGGGCACTGCCCGGGCATCCCGTGTACAGTCCTCCCCGCAGAGGTAGCAGGCCTCCCGCAGCAGCCCCGCGGCAGTGGCGGGCCCCTCCTCTCTGGGGAGTCTCCGGGCCTTGGAGGCCATGCCGGGGGCGTGGCTGTTCAGGGGAACCACGTAGAGCCTCTGCAGGACAGGCACGTTGGCTAGCTCGAAGCTCTGCCACTGGTGCGTGAGGGACGAGAAGCAGCAGGGACACACGAGGGTGCTGCCAGCCTCGGTGATGGGCTGGGCTCCGGGCGGGGGGCTATGAAGCCACAGAAAAGGGAAGAAGGGCGCCTGGGAGGGCGCCTCCTGCTTTTGCACGTGGATCTGCTGCTGCGAGGCCGGCGACAGCGCCGACCCACAGACGTAGCAGCAGCGGGCCTGGCTGTCCGCGGGCGTCGGGGGAGGCCGCTCCAGGCCCTCGTCCCCGAGGCTCCCAGCGACGTCACTGCCCTCGGGGGTGCTGCTGCGCTCTGGGGGTCCCGTGGCCCGGCTAGAGGTGGCGCTGTCCGTGCCGTCAGAGGCAGTGGGGACGGGCCAGGGTTCCTGGACGCCCCTCAGCACGCTGGCCCGAGGCGGCTCGGGAGCCCAGTGCGTCCCGGGCCCCGTGCGTCGGCGCCGGGCTCCGGGCTTCGTGGGGTCGTGAGCATCCTCGGGCTCAGGTTCCGGCTCAGGCTCCGGCTCTGGTAGCGCATCGGCGTCCGACAGTTCCGACAGCTCCGAGTCGCGCGCGTCCTCGGCGTTCCACTCGCGGGCCCCGCGCCGGCCACCCGCGCTCGCGTCGCACTGGTGCGGCCGCTTGAGCCAGTACACGCGCTTGTCCACGGGCGTGCGCGCGCGCTCGAAGGCGGCCCACTGCTCGGCCAGGAAACAGCGGCACACAGCGCACACCAGCACGCAGCCATCGGTCGCGCTCAGCCCGCGCGCGCCGGGCGCCGGCTCCTGCTGCTGCAGGAACGGAAAGAAGGGCTGCGCGGGGCCCGCCGGCCTCACCGGCAGCTTCAGCTCCTTGCCGCGCGCGATGCCGCCGCCACAGATGAAGCACGACAGGGCCGCGCCCGCCGCTGCCATGAGCCGCTGCTTGCGGGAGAGCGGCGCCGCCCGGCCGCTCATGGCCCGGCCGCCGCGCCCGCCTCCGCGCTCCCCGCGGCTGCCGCTGCTCCGGCCGCGCGCCCCGAGGCCCCGCGCCCAACTCGCAAAGTTTGGCGGGCGGCGGCGCGCACGCGGCCCGGGGCGCACGGAGGGTCTCCGCGGTGGTGCCTGGGGTGCTGAGTCCCCAGCTGGCAGCGGTGCGGGCCCAGGCGGCGCCGGAGAGCGCGCCCGGAACGTGGAGGTGGCGGCAGTGGCGACGAGCCCCGGGCGGCTGCGGCGGCCGCATGTGCGAGCTCCGGCGCCGGCCCGAGCGTCGGGTCATTTAATTGGGGAGGAGGGAGGCGGGGCGGCGCGGAGCGGAGGGCGCAGGAGGGAGGCGGAGGCGGGGAAGCCCTCCCTCGCGCCGCCCTGCTGCCCGCCTCCACCCGGGCTCCTCCTCCCTCCACCCCCCCACCCCTGCCTCCGACTCCTCCTTCTCCTAATCCTCCTCTCCCTCCCCTCCTCCCCTGCCTCCTCCTCCTCCTCCTAATCCTTCTCCTCTTACCTCCTCCCCGCCCCTCCTCCCCTGACTCATCCTCTCCTCCCCATCCTCCTCTTTCCTCCTCCCCTGACCTCTTCTCTCCCCACCCCATCCCCCCCCGTCTTCCCTCCCCACCCTCCCTCACCCCCCTGTGTCCCAAACTATGGCACAATAGCGTTCAGCTCCTCAGTCTATTCTGTGTCCAGCAGGAGCCCGCGGTGATTCATTGCTCCAATTAGGGGCTCTGCGGCCCGTGGCTCGGGCTGTCTGAAGGGTCTCCTTTGGGACCCACGAAACCCATCAGCCGCTGCCGCTGATCTTTAAGGAAAGGTCAAGCCGGACGCATTAGAGCCAGGTGAGGACCGATGGGTACCAAGGGAGACTTGGGAAGGGCACCCCCTCCCCCTCCCCAGAAGCTGGGGAGATCCTGGCCCCTTAGTAGCCCAGGGTTGGGGTCACCTTTCTGAGCCCAATGCCCTAGTTTTAGAGACAGAGGGAAGAGAAGTTGTCTTCTGCATCACCCTGGAGACAGAGTCCTCACAGCCTGCTCCCATCCCTGACTGGCCAGGGCCCACCAGGTCACTAGGTAGGGACCTAGGGTGTAGGAGTGTCCTAGGACTAAGAACTCAGTCTGTCTGTGCCCTTTTCCTTCTTGTTAAAAGTGTTGCAGCAGAAATCACAGGTATCCACGACTTAATGCAGATATATTGTAGCTGTTTAACACAGACAGACCTGCATGCCAGGTTCAGTACTGTTATGCTTCTTAGCTACTTCCCCCAAGAAGCAAGTGTGGGATGTCCCTCACTCTATGACTCAAAACATGAAGCCAGAAAGGATTCAGACCAGGCAGCAGGGTTCAGCATGGAGTATGCAGCCTCCTCAGGCAGACATCTGGCCCCTGTCACCCAGAAGCTGCTGGAGGCTGTCCTTGGTGCCTCCCAAGCACACAGGCACACACATGTTACCCCCACCCCACCCCCGTCTGTCTCTGTCCCTGTGTGTGTATGTCTCTCTCTCTCTAGGTCTGTGTCCCTCCCTCCCTCCACCCTACCCCCCATGGTATCCTTTGGTTCAGGCTGAGTTACCAAGCAATCCCAAACCTTTCTGGGCCTCAGTCTCCCATCTGTAACAGGGCCCCCTGAAGCTTCAGAACTGTCAGCCTCTACTTTCCAGCAGCTTCCAGCTGTCTACCCTGCCAGCAGGAGGCAGTGCCCAGGCCCTAGAGATAGGAGCCCCCACTTGATGAGCTGACTTATAAATAAAACTCCTGCCCCCATGTAGAAAGGCCTCTTGGGAATCCCTGACATTCCAGGACTCCAGGGTCAACTAGATGGGGTGTTAACATGGCAGATCATGGGACTCTTCCTTCCCTGGCCCAGAAAAGTGCTGGCTCAGCAAACTCTTGCAGAATTTGGTGGTGGTGGTGGGATTATCCCCTGGCTGTTGGCATTGTTCACACCTTGTTAGAGGAGAGGCCGATGAATGGGAGCTCCCTCATGAAGGAACACTGTCTGTTCTGTCCGAGGAAGAGCTGGGGGTCTCACCCCGTAGGAAGGAGCCTGGGGAAGGTGTTCCTGTGCAAGCGCAGGAGGCTCCCTGAAGGGCTGGGGGTCTCACCCCATAGGAAGGAGCCTGGAGGTGAAGGCCCCTCAGCCTGGTCCAGCTGCCCATCTTCAGAGCCCTTCAGCTCATCTGTAGGGGCTCAGCTGGAGTTGCCCTGTTCCTTCACATCTGTTGTTCATCATCCATTTTATTTCCTTTGCCATCTTCTGCTTCCTACATCCTTTTATCTCCCAAACAGCCAGTTTCCCCCAGGTCTATCCTGCACACTGACTAGCCAGGACGGGCTCCATACCTGGATCCAAAGCCCCAGGCCCCATTCTGCCAGCTGTGTATACCTCAGAAAGAGGCTGACCTCTTAACTCTACAAACCTCAGTCTCCTGCTGTGTGCAGCGGGCACATGCTCCCTCCATGGTGGGTCAAATGAGAGCCAGAGAGGTGCCTGGCACAGAAGACTGACAGGATGGGAGGCTGTGTGTGTGTCCATGTTAGCACACACGCGCTGTGTGTGTAGACATGTGTATACATTTGTGTATGTGAACAAGTACAGATGTACATGCATGCTATACATTTGTGTGTGTTAACACATAGTTAGATACACATGAATATGTATGTGCCCAAGTCCAGGATTACATGTGTGTTCTTTGCATGCATGTGTTTATGTGTGTTAATACTTGGTGTTATACAGACATGCATTTGTGTTTGCATGCATGCATGCATGTATGTGTGCACTATGCAGGTACGTGAATGTACATACATGTGTGCACATGTTTGTGCTTATGTTTCTGTATATGAAGTGGGCGGCAGGCAGGGGGGAGAATATTTCTGTTTCTCTCAATGGGTGAATGACTCAGGAAATCCCCTGGCATAGATCAGAGAAGGAAGAAAACAGGTGACACTGCTGAGTCATCTGTGGGTGGGTGACATGTGGGTGGAGCCACAGCACAGCCAGACACATCAGCCTGACATCACAGTAACATTTACTAGCCTTGGGGAGGGGGGCTTCTCACCCTCTGGGTCTCTTTCTCCATCAGGAAAGCAGTGCTAACAAAAGGACGCATTTTTTTAGGACTGGGAGAAGCAGAGCCTAAGCAATGCTGACAGGCCAGGCTCTCTAGAGACCAAGGCAAGAAGATCTCAAGTTCAAGGCCAGCTACACAGTGAGACCCTGTCTCAAAGGAAAAGAACTGAGAGACCCCTGCAACCCCCCACACACACATGTGGGGTGCAGCAGTAGAGGTGTTCCTGCATGCTGAGTAAGTGCAGAGCACAAACCTGGGCCTTGCAGGGGCCAGCTCCTGAGTCTCCACAGAGCCCATGACTGTGTCATTGTGCCCCGGCTCTCAGATGAGAAGGCTGAGGTTAAGAGTAAGGAGAAACTAGCCCATAGGAACAGCAGATTGAGTGGGAAAACACACACACAAACACACACACACACACACACACACTCCCCCCTCCATATAAAGCTAATAGGAATGATTTGCCCTAAGTTCAGCATGGACCAGGGGTGGTCTCAAAGTCTCCTGTCTCTTCTTTCATTAGTCCCCAACTGTGCATCTAAGGAAACAAAAGCTCTCACATGTTGGGGGATGTCTTTCTGTATGTATGTCTCTCTTATTGGTTGATAAATAAAACACTGTTTGGCCAATAGAAGCAGGAAGATAGGCAGGACTAGGAAAAGAAGAGAATTCTGGGAAAGGTAGGCAGAGAGAAACTACAAGAAGATGCCATGTAGATACTAAAAGAAATACAGTTTCGGGAATTCTCCAGTAAGCCAAGACCATGTGGAAATACTTAGATTAATAGAAATGGGTTAATAATTAAGAGAGAGAGAGCTAGCCAATAAGAAGCCCTAGTCATGGCTAATAGTTTTATAGTTAATATAGTGTCTGTGTATCCATTTGGGGCTGAAGTAGCAGGACCTGGTGGGACAAGAAAACTCCAGCAACACTCACAGGCTCTGGCCTGGACACAAAGCAAACTATGTGGTGCCAGATGCTGGAACACCAAGATCACTTAGTATCTACTTCATGTTGCAAAGTCATCCCAACACCCAGCCTGGCCATTCACATGTTCGAAGCTCAAACTGGATTGAGCCATCAACACATGCCTGCCAAGAGTCATCTAGACTCAAGGTACCAAGTAGAGTCTTCCTCCTGCCTGCATCTGTGGAGTGGTCATGTTCCTTCCATACCTATCACTATTTAAGGCATGGGCAACATTGCAGCTCCCAGCAGCCCTGGCTCAGGGGAGGGAAGGCACAGCCCACAGATTCTGTGGAGACATGTAGCAGAGGTACAGAGCATCTGGGCATGGCTCACATTTTTGCTGCCTTTGGGGAATCCCTAGCCTCCCCCTAGCTGTCTCCAGCTCCCACACAGTACTGTGTCTGCTTCCGGCTGTGTCTCCCCGGGGCTGACCCACCAGCTGGCCTGTCTGCCTTGTATTGCCCTAGCTTCACAGTGCTCAATCAGTGTTGGGACCAGGGATGCAGGACTCCAAACTTCACAGTGCGTTCTGTTCTAGAATCATCAGGTCTGCATGATGGTACCTCCTGTAATCCCAGCACCCTGAAGATGGATGGGAAGTTCAAGGCCAGCCTGGGCTGTAGAGTAAAACCCTTTCTCAAAAAAAATAAAATCTTGGCTGGAGGCAGATAAGATCAAAATGCATTCTACACAACCATGAAATTTTCAAAGAATAAAATTATTAAAAATAAGCCTGGCAGTGGCAGTACGCATCTTTAATCCCCACACTGGGAAGGCAGAGGCAAGCAGATCTCTGAGTTCAAGGCCAGCCTGGTCTGTAGACAGCCAGGGCTACACAAAGAAAATCCAAATATATATATATATATATATATATATATATATATATATATATATATATAATAAATTAAAACAAATAAAAAATCTGACCAGCATCACCCTGCCCTCTGCAATCTTCAGCTGCTCTATGCTTCATTCTTCCCAAGAGCCTGAAATCAAATTACAGCTATCCCAAGGCACCCAGCTTTTCCCAACCTACGGTTCTGACATCCTTGCTCATTGTTCCTTTTGTCACTACTCTCTTCCTCTGTGTGCCCTCCTCCAGCATCCTTCCCAGGACCCAGTTCCCGTCAGCCCATCTGCTTCTACAGAGGCAACCTGGGCTCTGTGCTTGCCCTCCAGCTAGCTGGGGACAAAGAGAAAAACCCATCTTTGGCTGCCCTTCCTTTTTGCTCTTCCCCTCCCTTCTGCTCCTCTTCTCTCCCTCTCCTCTCCCTCTCCTTCACCCCCTTCCCTTCCCTTCCCTTTCCGTCTGGACAGAGCAAGCACTTCACTACTTTCCACAGAAAGAGCTTCAAACATGGCAGGATCCTAGCAAAAATATATCCTCCTCAAAGGGAAAGAATGTTACTGTGAACAATAAAAAAACAATGTCTGCTTAGCTGACCTGGGGTCTCTGAGCCAGTCATACCCATTAGCACTTGACAGCTATGCCTGGTGGCTGAGGAAGTGTTACCTCTGCTTTAGAAGCAGGGAATCGGGTCCCCAGAAGCAGGGACTTATTCAAAGGTGCAATTCCTGATACCATGGTGAGGCTGGTGAAATTTTGTTGTATTTTAGAGATTATGTATATGTATATATATGTATGTGTACACACACACACACACACTCACACACACTCAATGCGTGGTAGGGAGGGGATAGTAAGAGGGAGTGTCCTAGTTTGCGTTCTATTGCTGTGATAAACACCATGACCAAAAACAGCTTTGGAGGAAAGGGTTTATTTGGTTTACAGGTCCTGATGACAGTCCATCGTTGAGGGAAATCAGGGCAGGAACTCAAGCAGGAGCAGAGGAGGAGCCGAGAAGGAGCGCAGCTTACTGCTTCACATTCAGCTACCTTTCTTTTTTTTTTTTTTTAGATTTTTATTATGTGTATGGAGGCCAGAGGAGGGTGTGGGATCTCCTTATATATGATGGTTGTGAGCCACCATGTGGTTGCTGGGAATTGAGCTCAGGACCTCTGGAAGGCTAGTCAGTGCTCTTAACCTCTGAGCCATCTCTCCAGGCCCCCGTGTTGTTATCATGAGCCTCTTTTTTTTTTTTTTTTTTTTTTTAAGATTTTTCAGGTACCTTTCTTAGACAATCCAGGACCACCTGCTTAGGGATGATGCTGCCCACATTGGTCTGGACCTCTTCCCATCAATCAATAAAAAAAGCCCCACAGACTTGCCCACAGGCCGGTCTAATGGAGGCAGTGCCTCCGTTGAAGCTCCCTCCTCCCATGTAACAATAGTCTGTGTCAAAGGGATGAAAACTAACCAGCACAGAGGACCAAGGGGTCTGCCACATCATACTGTGGGGTCAGAGACAATCTGTGGGAACTGGTCTTCCTCTGTGTGGGTTCCATGCCTTAAACTCTAGGCATCAGGCTTGGTGCCAAGTACCTTTACCACCGGGCCAGCCCACAGGCCCTTTTGTTGGCCTTTGTGTGGACTGACTCCATTAATTCCTTAAACATACAGCTTCCACCGTGTGCTGATAGCCCCATCTCTCAGCAGCCACTGCTCTTTGAGACACCCCCCATCTCAGAGCAAGGAAGCCACAGCTCACTGTCCTGAGACAGCGTAGGCAGGAGTGTTCTATACATTGCAAAGGTCCTTGTGTGAAAATCCCAGCTTGTGCTCACAGCGAAGGGTCAGGACATGGGAGACAACAGCCCAAGGCCCACCCAAGCCCTTCCGTTCAGAAACCCGAGGGTTCTGTGGCGAACTTCAGAGCCTTGTAAAAACCTTTTGATAAATGAACACAGGGCTGACCTGCATGGGGCCGACAAGACAGACTCTTCACATAAATCTTGTGTGTGCTTGAAAATTCCCTCCCCGCCGACATCTCCAAGGCACTGATTTGTAGCAGAAACCCCTTGATGTGGTTGGTTCCCAAGCATCCACCCAAGCCCCAGAAGTTCTGGAAAAAGGCAGAACACAAGGGGAGGAGGAAAGCAAAGTTAGACAGCGAGAGGACCTCCAACTGCCCTTACGCACACTAGGTCTATTGGGCGAGCCGGCTTTAGTCCTCCCACTGTGGTGAAGATAGGTCACTGCCAGTTGTTCACTAAGTGTTGGGCACTTACTAAGCATGGGGGGCTCTGTTCACTTAATGTGCTAAGGTTCTGAACAGTGATCCATGTCCCCAAGGTCACAGAGCTGGGAAGTGTTGGGGCTGGAACTGAACCCAGACCATCTGGTCCAAGTGCCTTGCTCTAACCTACCACCCTTAATGTGCAGCTTCTGGCTTGCAGGCCTACCTCTCCAAATCCTTCCCCATAAAGCATTCCTGTCCCTCTGAGTGTCCTGCCCCAGAAACTGGTAGTCTTGCTCAACGTCCTGTGTGTGGCTCTACCGGCAGCTGCACCTTCAGCCAGGTCCCCAAACCCTTGGACCCAGAGTTTCTCAGAAGCTCCATCAGGTTCTGGCTCACAAAAAAGGCTGTGTCCGTATGTCCCTCCCTCCGAGTCACCACGACATATCTGCCCTAGCCCCAGCTGTCGTCTTGGTCTTCTCTCTGGAGGGACTGGCCTATCCTGGACTTGTTCACAGTGTCTGACGCTAAACTGGAGCAGGGCACTTTGTCTTCTTCTGTGAGGGCTCCCTGTAACCCCAGCTGACCTCACACCTCAGCAGCCCCTTGCCTTATCCTCCCCAGTGCTGAGATTGCTGGAGCGAGCCGCTATGCCTGCCTGGGCATTGTACTTAAAAACCTGAAGCTTCTGTAAGTATGTGACACACATACTAAGTTTTCACAGACAAGCATGTTCCGCCTCTGGGGGCACCTCACAACCCCCCCAATTCCATATCCAGTTCAAACCCAGCTACAGAGGTGACAATTCCTGGACTATGCAGGTGACAGTTCCATCGTTAATTGTTCACAGAGCCATATAGCTAACTCCAGGGTCAACTTCTAAACATCCATCATCCCCAAGAGAAGCCTCCACCCAAAGTGCCACCACTGTAGTCCCTCCGGCTGCTCTTCCCCAGTTCTGAGTATCATTCACCCACTTTCTGTCCATTCATTTGGGGTGCCACACAGAGGAGATGGCTATGTAGCCTTAACTGGCCCAGAATTCTCTATACAGATCAGATTGACTCCAAACTTATAGACATCAGTATGCCTTTTCCTCCCCAGTACTGCAATTAAAGGAGTCAGCCATCATGCCTGGCCTTTAAAACACACACACACACACACACACCCCAAGGTCTCAGGGAACCCAGGCTGGCTTTGATCGCATTATGTGTACCTGGATCTCCTGCCCCCACCTTCTAAGTGCCGATATGCCAGGAGATCGCATACTCTGCCTGTTTGCCCTAATTTCAAGGCTGGGCCATGTCATAGTATGAGCAGATGGGTTCTGTCCTCTCCGTGGGTGGGGCAGCCTATGCACACCCTGTCTTTCTTGTGTCCACACTGTGCCTGATTCCCCCTGCTTGGGGTTTTCTGTGTGCACATGTGCATGTGTTTTGCTGGGAATGCAGCCCCGAGCCCCATGTGCGCCGGTCCAATGCTCTGCCCCTGAGCCACACCCCAGCCCCTCCCCTGAGCCACACCCCAGCCCCTCCCCTGCTGCTGCCAGCAGTCTCTTGTATTGCTGTGAGGAGGTCCACTGGTGACTTGAGGGTTGCTCTCACCTCTTGGCAAATCGGTGAAGGCTCCCAGGAAGGATGAACCCAGAGATAGAACTCCTCTCTAGTGACATTCCGTAACCCTCCAGGCCTTTGGCTCCTGATTGAGGCCTCCAGTCTCCTTCAGCTCCTGGCCTTTCAGTGTCTCCAGCATGCAGGCAGCCATCACTGAACCCCTGAGTCTTTCCTGTGTAAGCCAATCTAGTGACTCTCCCTTTATAACAAACACCTCATAAGTGCTTAATTCAGTGACTGGCTGATCTTGATCCCTTGGTGGGCTAAGGAGTTCCCATGTGAGGCAAAAGGTAATGGTGTTTTCCTGCGTATCCCAACCATGTCTTCTGCTGACAGCCCATGTTAGGCTGGACTCCTACTAGTGGAACTCTAATCCCAGGGAGGTGGTGACTGTCATTCCTGTGGTTCACCAGCTCCTGGCCTCAGCCCTTCCTGGTGCCTCCCTTGGCTCCTTAGCTCCAGACAGTCAGACTGGCCCTGCAGGCCACCTTGCTGCAGGGCAGACACCCCTGGCCCACCTGAGCACCCTAATAATGTTCACATGGGCTCAGAAGCCAGGACTCAGTGTCTGTTTTGTTGGGCTGTGCAAAAACACTCGTGTTGCCACACTGGATCTGAAAATGTGTTCCTTTCACAGGCCAGCAATACTCAGAAATGGCCCCTGCTGAAGGGGAAATACATTTTAAAGTTGCAGCTTGCTCAGGTCCTAGCTCAGTGGTTCTCGGCCTTCCTAATGATACAACTCTTTAATACAGCTCCTCATGTTGTGGTGACCCCAACCATAGAATTATTTCGTTGCTTCTTGGTAACTGTAAGTTTGCTACGTTATGAATCATATTGTAAATATTTGATGTGCTACCCCTTGGTCATGACCCCTAGAACCACTGTCCTAGTATCACTCAGCCCCCTCTGACCTCTGCAGGTAGCAGCTACAGGAACAGGAGCGCACAGTCCCTGGTTCTCCCTGCTCTTTAGGCTGAGTTAGACGCCCCCATGTCCAAGCTCATAAAGGTGGTGGGGTGATGCCTTGAGTGGGGT